TATGATCTTGTGCAAGTTACTTAATTTCTCTAAGCCTCAGTTTTCTCATTTATATATGAGCATAGTAATAATACCCAGGAGAGTACTATGTGGAATAAAGTAATACCTATAAAATCCTTGATAACAGAGCCTGACACATATATCAATAAATCAGAAATATTAATTTCCATTGTATCTATTGCTTAAGGTCACACAGTTAAGTGTGTTCTTGAGCTAGAACTTTGAATTCCATCCAAATCTGAAGGCTGTAAGTTTTTACTCTTATGTTTATTGTGAAATTGTTTTCACATATAGAAAATGAGGATCAGTAACAAATTATTTCAAGAGGTTACTGGTGAAGATTAAGAGATTAATATATGTGAATGTGCTTTATATGTAAGAATTTGTTGTTTTTGTTGTTTCAAAGAGGTTTGCTTCATATTTGATTTTACCTGCCAGACTGGAGATGCTTTTGTAGTAGTGTTCACATGATTAAGGGCATGGACTTTAAGGCAAAATTATCTGGGTTCAAATTCCAGCCCCACGTGGGGAAAAAGACTTCATGTCTCTTTCCTAACAGCAAAAACAACAAAATGTAGTCCATGGGTACATAGTAAATGAGTACATATGTGTAAACAAATAGAGAATTGACCTATAATAAATGTTGTATAACTTGTTTAAAAATTTTTTTTAATGTTTTATTTCTGAGAGAAAGAGAAGAGAGACAGCGTGAGCAAGGGAGGGTCAGAGAGAGAGAGAGATACAGAATCTGAAGACAGGCTCCAGGCTCTGAGCTGACAGTCAGCACAGAGCCCGACATTGGGCTCAAACCCATGAACCGTGACATCATGACCTGAGCCGGAGTCGGAGGCTTAACTGACTGAGCCATCCAGGTGCCCCTATATTGTATAACCTGTTGATTGCTTATTATTTTTTTTCTTTTTTTCTTTCTTTCTTTCTTTTGTTTTTTTTTTTTTTTTTTACAAATAGTTTATTGTCAAATTGGTTTCCATATAACACCCAGTGCTCATCCCCACAAGTGCCCTCCTCCATGCCTTAAATATCATTATTGTTATGTGCTCCACAATCTTATAGTACTTTATACCTAGTAGGTGATAAATGTTTTTTTAATTAATAAAATAAATTCTGCCTCCTCTACATTTGCACTTTGTTTTTCAAGAAATTAATAATGTTATTAATGGGCATAGCTAATGAGGCCCAGCTATGCCATGCTCCTGACCATGCCTCTCTTCCAGACTCTACAATTGGAGTGAGAGAGCAGGTAAAAGGGTGCAAATCATTCTTAATAATAACACATCTGTTGAGGGTTTCAGCAGAAGATTAGATGGGTGACCAGTAAGCACTTTGTAAGGGTTGAGTAATTTCTATTTTCTCTGGCAAGATGTGTTAAATATGGAGTAAGCACATAAACAACCCACTTGTTTTTGCAATATTTGTTTAAGGAAAAACCCTGTTTTTGGACTTTGAATATTCACCAATGTTTGTATACTGGAAGACGTCAATTCTAGAAGCTTCCTGTTTTGTGTATGTGTGTGTGTATGTGTGTGCACATGTGCACACCCGTGTACATGTTTATATTTGGACAGATGTAACACTGTAGCTTCTAGTCTGGAGGAATCTGGTCTAGTCTCCATCAACTTCTATAATTTTGCCATGTATCTGTGTTTGTAGTTGTGGTCATCTGTAGCCTGCTTGTGCCCAGAAACTGTCCCTGGGGATGATCTCATCGTTAGCAATACGTTGAACACTTAAATTTAATATTAAGTGTAGAGTTTCCAGGGTTCCCAAGAGTCACTCTTGTGGTCCCTTGGATCGGAATACCATAGCTTAGCTTTTTCCTGGTCCCAATGACTTAGTTATAAGTTTAGATATCCCAGTGTCATCCTGGAGAAGATGTTCTTTATCAGTGTTAGACCATGTACCACTATGACAATTAGATAATATTTTGAACTTTGCCCCAGACAAACTTGTTTACTCAAACTCATACTAAATTTGCCTTGAAATTCCAAGGCTTCAAAGATCCCTGAGGTATATCCACAGACTCCTCAATTAAGAGATCCCCTTGCATTCAAATGGCTTTATTGTGCAAGAAACAAAATTTAAATGAGACATGGATGTAAAATTTAAGGGGAGAAGTGAAAAGAGCAATATCCGTTGAAATCACTTTCTCTCTCTTGAATGAAGGTGGACAAGTGACCACAGAAGAGTTTGGAGAAGTCATTTGGTTTCAGCAAGACCTATAAAAAATGATGACAGTTTAGGAATTTAATTTATAATGTGTTAACAGTTTTCATGTACACTTTTATTTAACTTAAATGATTTACCTCTTATGTCTGTATTCAAGGATTTTATCAAATAAAAAATTTAAGTATAAATATTTAAAATTGGCTTACAGTAACTGAGAATAATTGACTTCACCTAATACTAATACCAAGACAATGTCCTTTACATGCTTCTTTATAAGTGATATTATACACTGGTTTTAACTTAGAAATCTAGGTTCATGAGTTTTGAACAAATGTAACTACTGAAATAATGATTATTCCATTAAAACATAATCATGTAGCATATTTTGAATCAATAACACATATAACTGTGTACTACTTGCTTTCATGTTGTCTCCATTAATTTTCTCATTATGTTTTTAAAATTTTAATAAGTCAAAAATTTATCCAGCATCTTGTTTTTCCTACCATATGTCCTATTAAATAGCAACCAAATACAATTTACACATACACTGATCTAAGTAAACCATAATGTGTTTTCTGTTTTTCTGCACATTAGACAGCCCATATAGAAATAGATGGCATTGTTGGTGGGAATGCAAAGTGGTGCAGCCCCTCTGGAAAACAGTGTGGAGGTTGCTCAAAAAATTAAAAATAGAACTACCCTATGACTCAGCAATAGCACTGCTAGGAATTTACCCAAGGGATACAGGAGTGCTGATGCATAGGGACATATGTACCCCAATGTTTATAGCAGTGCTTTCAACAATAGCTAAATTATGGAAAGAACCTAAATGTCCATCAGTTGATGAATGGATAAAGAAGATTTGGTTTATGCATACAATGGAATACTTCTTGGCAATGAGAAAGAGTGAAATCATGCCATTTCCTGCAACATGGATGGAACTGGAGGCTATTATGCTAAGTGAAATAAGTTGGTCAGAGAAAGACAGGTATGTTTTCACTCATATGTGGAATTTGATAAACTTAACAGAAGACCATGGGGGAGGGGAAGGGAAAAAAGCTTCAGAGAGGGAGGGAAGGAAAACATAAGAGACTTAAACACAGAGAAAAAAACTGAGGGTTGATTGGGGGTGGGTGAGAGGGGGAATGGATGATGGGCATTGAGGAGGACACTTGTTGGAATAAGCACTGGGTGTTGTATGTAAGCCAATTTGACAATAAATTATATTTAAAAAAAGAAATAGATATCATGGTAATTAAGCTTTACCATCTAAAATCATACAGTTTTGGTTTGGTTCCCAGTTTTGCACTTTTGAGCTGTGGTAATTAAGATCCACAGGCCTGTTATTATTTATCTTATGTGTGTGTGTGTGTGTGTGTGTGTGTGTGTGTGAATTCAAGATAGTCATATAATCTGTCCCATATGGTTGCTATAGGAATAATCAGAGGTAATTATATAAAGTAATTATCATTTAGTAAGGACAAGATATTGTTAAAAATAAACTTTAGTATTTATTATTTTTATTTTTTCTAATGCATTACGTTTCGTAGACTGATCAGTTTTTATCATCTTTTCACAATATGCATTGCCACTTGAGTCTTATAGAAACCACAAGTAAGAGAAAATGAAAGTTCAGAGAGAGTAATGACTTGCCCAAAGTCACACAGATGGAAGAAACAGCCTTCTGTTGTCTAATGCTATTCCTGTTGTGTCACAGATCACTGTGTTGTATCTTAGATTATATAACATATAGACAGTGGGATGCACTGAAAACATTTATTGCAAAGAAACTCAAAATTTTGTAAATTTCTCTCCAAATTACTTCACACTCTTTGGTTATTTTCTATTTTATTGATCTTTCCCTTTAACTACTTTCCATAAGTTTCAAGTTATTTTAGACTCTTCCCTTATTCATTGATCCAGATAATAAATGGAAATGTTGGCATCACATTTAAGACTCTGAAAATATTCTTTTAGTATATATGTGCTTTCTAAATTAAGAATTACAATTCTTCCATGGGTTTATCTTAGAATATGAGAAATTTCGGGTGCCTAACTTCATGGGTCCTTTCAGAAATGATTTCTGAAATAAAGGAATGCATGGGAAATGTATTTCCTTTTACTCAATTTAGGGCAAAATTAGAGTGGAAGAACATGGTTACATGTTTAAAATGTATTTAAACTCATATTCTGTAAAACTGTTCTAAGAAAATTTATTTCTGAGATAAGAAAAGTCACAAGTTTTTACTTCGTGTGTGAATAGAAATGAAGTAAAACTAATGGGTTCTAGTAGTGTTCCAATTGTTGAAATGAAGTTTGGTAATAAAATCTCCAATATTTCTTCATTTTGTAAAACTAGATATTTCATTTCTTACTGGAACAGAATCTAGCGTATCGTTGGGATGGTACCACCAAAGTAAAATTATAATGAACCCATTTTGAATGCTCTTTTAACAGGCTTAATTTATCTATTATACGATCTAAGATGTTATGATAGTGCTGATAAATCCATGGATCTTGTCTGTATTATTTTTAAAACACTTTTATTTAAAAATTTTAAAAGTTTACTTATTTATTTCGAGAGAAAGAGAGAGGGCAAGCGAGTGGGGGAGGGGCAGAGAGGGAGAGAGAATCCCAAGCAGGGTCTACACAGAGAGTGCCAAGTCTAATGCAGGAGCTCAAACCCATGAACCCATGAGCTCATGACCTGAGCCAAAATCAGAGTCAGAAGTTTAATCTTGTCTGTATAATTTATTTTTGTCTTTTGGTCATTTACCTGTGTTGTCTTCTTCGATGTTTCATTAGAGTTTTTAGACCACGGTTGAAGTCACTGGAACTGTGGTCGTCTCAGGTGTGCTTGTGACGGCGAATTCTGAGGAAGCTTCTGTAGGGACTACAGTGTTCACTATTGGTTCAGTGGTAGGAATAAGTGTAGGCTCAGCAGTAGCAATGGTATTGATGGTAGGGATGCCTGTCTTATCCTGAATGTTCTTTGGGAGGATAGCAATTAATGATGCAGGCAGGTGCGGGCGACGTACCACAGTGGGTGAGTAGGTATTTGGCAGGGCTTGCCACTGAGGAATTTGGACATGTGGCTTAACTGCGACTGGTTTTGGATAATACGGATAAGGCATATATTGATTATTAATTGGTACAGCTGGTTTATGTGGGTAGTAACTGGGCTCATAGTGAGGATAGTTGCTCAGCACATAATGAATTGGGATATACTTGACAGTTTTCTGATTAAGCAATCTTTCATCATTCTCACGACACTGCAAAAAGAATACATTGTGCAGATATTATTGTGGGCTAGAATCTTAAATCAGAGCTTTTTGAAGTAATATATTTTAATATTTGACGTTGAAGAACTACAATATTGGAGCAGCGAACTCAGCAACCATATTATTTTACAAGATACAGATTTGTACACTTCTATTCCACTTCTTGCTTTTCAACAAATATTAAAAATAACATTAGTTTCAAACAGACTAGATGAAGTAATCCATAATGTAAACCACATTGCCCAGGTCTTGGCATATATTAATAGTGCTCAGTGAATGTTGGGCATTATAATAAGTACAATACCTAAAAAAATCTCATAGAGAACTTTAACATATTATGCACAAACATAGCACACACAGAGAAATACATGTGCATATATATTTTTTAATATATAAGTGTGTATATCTGTATTCTTACCACATATTTGTAATTGTTTACAAATTTCATTTTTCTAGAGATGAGGCTGAAGGCACATTTTTTTTTTTTCTAAACGAATTATAGCAGAATAGTAAAATAATGTGATGTGGGAGAATTTCTGGATTTATACTTTGGATTCTTTTCAGTTTCACTTTATTTATTAAAGATCATTAAGGAATTCTCTGTTTTTATTTGCCTCTCTTCTATTGGTTATGTGCATTTATAAAAATATGTCATTAAATCTTTCCATATGAGTTAAAACAAATCAACAAAATTACACTCCAAAGCAAGTATTTCTCATGAAAGGAGACGTATTTAAATGTGTTCATTGAAACATATTTGGAAAACAAAACAAAACAAAAGTAAATGCAAGCGTATGAGAAGTATTCAAAGATGGGTCAGAGAGGGATTCTTCCCCAAGGCTTTAGTCAAGAGAGATATTAAACTTTACGTTTGTTTTCCCTTCCTCCCCAATATTAAATTCCGAGAAAATTTTCTCATGAAGTAAAATATACATGAAAACCAAAAATACATGACTTGGGTCATAAAAACAATCCAAGATTTTCAGGTGAATACTGAGGTTGATTCATATGACTGTTTGCTAAAAGTGATTTTTTTTAAAGATTATTATTTTATGAGGTTTATTTATTAATTTTTAGACAGAAGACATTTAAACATCATTGAACTGTGCATACTATTATACTTTAGAGTTCATATCTCTACTATAAATAATTAAAATAAACTTACAGTCGCTTGTTCCTGGTTTTGCACCTCTGCACCTTGCTGCAGTTCACAAAAATGAGAAATAAGGGTTTTTGTTTGTTATTTTTGGGTTTTTTTGCAACCTAAATCTTAGTTTATTTTAAAAAAATGTTTGATTTTCCCTTGGCAGCACAATTTATTGTTTCTATTGACTTTCCAGCAGTATTAGGTCAGACTAACTTTTTCAGCTTTCAGAAATGATCACTTAATACCATCTCTATTCTCCCTTATACAAACAAAACAAAACAAAACACCAGAAAATATAGGTTTTAGAAAGCAGGGCAAAATTCAGATTTTTTTGTGGTTTAAAAATCTTTTGTACTAAAGAGAAAACATTGTTTCTTTGTTTTTACTTTAATATTGTAAAATATTGTAATGCATTCTCCATGGTTATTTAATCTATAAGGTCTGTGAGCCACTCAGGAATTGATAACAATAAACTAATCAAAATCTTTAAAAATCACCACCTGGGAAGAAAAATTTAAAGTTGAAAGTAATATCATCTGATTCCTATGCATATCCTATATATATGTTTATATATATATTTGTTTAAATGGAAATATGAATTACCTATATTCCATTTGTATTGAATGTACATTGTGTTTTTTGTTTCCTATTTTCTGTTTGTTTGATTTTTGAATGTACATTATTATAAATAAGAAAAGCATTGAGTCTACCTTTTTTCTGCTGTCCTACTAATATGATTTATGAGGTTTATTTAGAGTAAAAAACTGCCTCTTGTATAACAGCATAAAATAATTATATAAATAATAGTGTGTTTTTAATAAACTTTTATTTGTTTTTATAATACTTCTCTTAATTCTATATTGCAACATGCATAGGGAATCAGGAGTGGAAAAACAATTTCCATAGGCATATTTATAAAGCTTTAAAAACTCACAAAGGTTATATAAACTTTTGAGATGAGGCTATAAGATTAAATACTTTTTAAAATGATAGATTTAGTTTAGGACATTTCCCCCACATCCTTTGGATATAAAAAGACTCTAGAAACTTTTTGGATGATATTGGTAGAGAAAATCAGAAGTTTGACAAAATAATAAAATTCATAGTATGTTGAGATAGAGATTTCTTTTCTCTAAATGCATTAAATTACTAAATTTACTAAGTTACTAATTTAAAGTTTAAAAGATAATAGGAATATTATAGAAAGTTAGCCTACACCTGAAAATTCAGATTATCTAGACATCTTCACATTATATTGATCTGTATATATTTTCCTGGTATACGTTCCTGTTAGTACACATATTGTATCTTACATTTTTTTCAAGAAACAATATATTTTTTCCATTTATCATTAGTTTTTATACTCAAATATTTATAATTGAAAAATGAATGACGATGAATGATTATGTCATGAAATGTTTATTCTTTATTGTTAAACATTAAAGCTCCTTTCAAAAAATGTTTTATTATTGATAGGTAGATGAATAACATCTGTATATCACTTGGCAACCTACAATGCCACCAGTAGGCTATAGACTATAAGATTGTGCAATACATCACATAATTGTTAATAGTAAGTACCATCCTAACTATATTTGGAGAGAAGGAACAAATTAACACGTAAAAAATACTATCACAAAATATGTATAGTTTTGACTGTTTACAAGATTGAATGGTTAAGTCTATAAACTTTCATTCTTCTTTTGAATTATTGGTTAATTGTCCCTGGGGCTTGAAGCCTTTGTGAAAATGGGAAAGAGTATTTGGGAGGTAGAGCAGACTCTAATAGTTCAAGAAGAGGTTGCTATAGACCAGGGAGTTGTGGATCATGTGATATTGCGATTCATAACAGGATATATATATCTTGTCTTCATTCCAGTTCTGGCACAGTGCTGCTCCTAAAACCCTGTGATTTCCTAAGTGATGGGCTTGGGGTAGGGAAGCTGGCATCTTTCATTATGTTAATGCAGTGAATTTGGACCCCACCTAAGGATGGAGGCTGGTTGCGGGAGAAACCAACTTTTTTTCTTTAATGTCTATTTATTTATTTGGGGAGAGAGAGCTCCAGCAAAGGAAGAGGAGGGAGAAAGGGAGACAGAGAATCTTAAGTAGGCTTTGCTCTGGGAGAGTGGAGTCTGACAGGGGGCTCCAACTCAGGAATCAGGAGATCAGACCTGAGCCAAAACCAAGAATGTGACGCTTAACCCACTGAGCTACCCAGGTGCCCCATGAGAAACCAACCTTTTGGTTTGAAGGTTGGGACTTCCAATCCCACTCTGTAATCCTCCAGAGAGGGGAAAGGGATTGGAGGTTGAGTCAGCACACGATGGCCAATAATTTAAGCAGTCATCCCTATGTAATGAAGTCTCCATGAAACCTCAAAAAAGATGGGTTCAGACAGCTTCTGGGGTGGTCAGCCCATGGAAATTCGGGGACAGTGACTTTCCTGCAGAGGGCATGGGACCTCTGTACCCCTTCTCACATACCTTGTCCTGTGTATCTCTTCCATTTGCTTCTGAGTACATCCTTTCATGACAAACCAGTAATCTAGTAAGTAAAACATTTCCTGAAATCTGTGAACTGCTCTAGCTAATTAACCAAATGCAAGGAGGGGAAGGTGGGAAACTTCCATCTACAGCCCGTCTTCAGAACTACAGGCAACAGCCTTTGCTTCTGACTAGTGTCTGAAGTGAGAGCAGCAGGGACAGTCTGAACCCTCAACCTGTGGAATTTGACACTGTCTCTGAGTAGATGGTCTCAGCACTGAGTTGGATTCTCTGACGCACTGCTGGTGTCCGATAATTGCTTGGTGCTGTGTGAGAACTCCCGCCCCAAACACATGTTGGCAATGAGGCCAGGAACCTAAAATAATAATTTTCTTACTTCAGTTTTAATCCTGATCATTCAGAGAGAAAACCCAAATTCAAAATATGCTGGTGGCCAAAGTAAAATGGAATTTCAAAGAATAAATGAAGGACAATAAATGTAAAAATCATAATAATTCAAATTTTTAAGAAGTTTGACTCTAAAAATTTACGTAATAGAATTATTTAATAAATATTAACTTAAAAGCAAGTCTAAATTTAATAATAAATGAATTATGAAACAAGGACTAGTGCCTTCCAAAATTTATAATCTAAGAGATGGTCATCTACCATCATCTTATGTTTGTCTTCCTGTTCCTGTTATAGGTAAATAAGTGCCTGGGATCCCTAAATGAATCTCACTCTCTGAGATCTCTCTCTCTCTCTCTCTCTCTCTCAAAAATAAAGAAACCTTAAAAATTTTTAAAACATTTAAAAAAGAATTTCTGATCCTGCATTATGATTTATGTATTTATTCTTTAGGGATTAGCTTTAGAGTATTTTATAATTTAAAAATATTTCCAGAATTGTCCTCTCCCTTCCCCCAACATATTTTTTGTATAGTATGAGAATGTTAAAAGTTTTCATACATGATAAAGTGTGATTTCTTAATTCCTGGGAGCTAAAATCATATCTAAAAGAACATGGCTATAATTTTATAATAAAAATCAATAAAAATTTTAAGAAAATATAGCAAGTATGCAGTTATTTTGTTCTATGAAGTATAACTTTACTTTCCACAGTAGAACGTTTAAATAAAACTTTCTTAGTATCTTAATACAAATTGATTAGATGAAATCAACTCACCAGAAATGGTAAGGTTAATGCAAGAATATTCGCAACTATGAAAACAGTCTTCATCATTGCAGCTGAAAGTAAAATTAAAGAAAAAACATTAAGAGGATTTATTTTGTTTAATTTACTTTTTATTTTTTTAATGTTTGATTTATTTTTGAGAGAGAGACAGAGAGAGTGTGAGCAGGGGAGGGTCAGAGAGACGGAGATACAGAATCCAAAGACAGGCTCCAGGCTCTGAGCTAGCTGTAGGCACAGAGCCCGAAGCAGGGCTTGAATCCATGAACCGTGAGATCATGACCTGAGCCTAAGTCAGACGCTTAACCGACTGAGCCACCCAGGCGACCCTAAGAGGATCTGTTATAATTTATGAGTGATTTGGGGCAATATTTGCTTGTTTTGTTTTGTTTTTCCTTTAAGGAAAAAAACCAGATTTATGGGTAGATTTAGCCAACTTGGAAAATATTTACTGTACACTTTATAAAAAACAAACTTGAAATTATCAGGGTGAATCTGAAACAGGCTTTTCCAACAACTAGCATCAGTTTTAGGAAGAGAGCTACAACATACACAAATCAGCGTAAGAGAAAAGAAAGTGGAAAATGCCACAAATGTTTTTTCTACGGATAGAAGGTTTCAGTTAAGAGAATCATCAAATTTTTTGTGTAGGAGAAGGCATATACTCCTTGTCCATGGAGAAAGACAGAGGAGAAAGCCTTGGGAACATCCATGGACATTTGGAAGGGTGTGGTGTTTTCTAAGAAAAGAAAGATGAAGTTGAAAAGAAAGTTTAGGGCAGCAAAAGGAGAGGCCTTGAACGCCAGGTGAAAGAGTTAGGCATGGCTTTGTAAACAACAGAAACTAGCTGAGAGGTTTTAGCTGGAGAGGGTTGAGACTGTATATTCCTTTTGAGGACTGAGTTCTAGCCCAGTCCCTATCTACTTGAGTAACTTTGGCCAAGTAATTTCCCTTGCCTGGAACTTATCTTTCTAATCTATAAACTGAACGTTTGAACTAAGTGATTTCTAAAATTCTATTAATTCCACGATTCATCTAATGGAAACAGGCAAGATGGAGGGGAGAGGGTGGAGCCTGAAACTGCATTCTCTATAATATACTTTGGTAGTAATTATAAATGATATTATTAACTTGATTGTTTTAATAAGAAATATAGATATGACAATTACAGAGCTTTTGAATATTTAAAAAGGTAAATTAGTCTTATCCTTCTAATAGAATATAGGGTTGTCACATCTGCTTATTTGACCCTTTTTTTAAAGTTCATTTATTTATTTTGAGAGAGAGAGAGAGTGTGTGTGTGTGTGTGTGTGTGAGCAGAGGAGGGGCAGAGAGAGGGGGAGAGGGGATCTCAAGCACTGTTAGTGCATAGCCTGACAAGGGGCTTGATCCCAAGAACTGTGAGATCATGACCTAAGCTGAAATCAAGAATCAGATGCTTAACCAACTGAGGTACCCAGGTCCCCTATTGGACTTTTTTTTAATAAATTGTTTTCTTAGAAAGGTGCATATAACACCTCAAAATTTTAATATGTAAGTGCATATTGTATTTGTGAAGTAAATACTAACTATATCTTGTTATAGCTATTGTTATTGTCATACGTGTAATACACTTGAGTCCTACAAATTGTTGTACAAAAGAGGTTCACAGAGTTAAAGCTGAGGATCAGAAAGGGGAATTACATCAGACTCTATTTGCTTCCATTCCCAGGTAATAATGCTTAGGAAGACTGTCTATTAAGCTGACTTGAAAACTACTGATAGGATATCAGTGGATAGAAAAGAACTACCAGGAATCAAATCTGAACAACCTACAGGAAACTCAGATTTCATTGAGAGAGACAGAATTGCTTATTAATTCTTTACTTACTAATTAACTTTGTTATTAAAATATATATGACATATAACACTGTTTAAATTTAAGACACACAATTGTTGATTTGATACATTTATATGTTATAATATGGTTGTCATTGTAGTGATAGTTGACACTTCTATCATATCACATAATTACCATTTTTTTTGGTTGGAATAATTAAGATCTGGTCTTAACAAGTACCATGAATATGGACAACAACTTGGTATTATAATCACTGGGTAGCTTAAAATTATAGACTGAACAATAAATTTTTATGGTGAATAAGACTCCTGTTCGGTTCTCACAAAATTACAACAACGTGCACATACACAAATATTCTGTAAAATGATAGCAATTCTTTCCTTTTTAGCATAAATAGATATCAGAGAGATAAGACCGTACTTTACTTATCAGTTACTTAAACCAATGATAGCTTGAATTTGCCTTTAACACTTCATAAGACAAAAATAATTTCTGAAATAATAGAACTATTCAGCTTTCATGGGAATACAAAAGGCATGTTTTAAAACAATACTTATACTACAACAAAAAATTAAGACCTTTAGATATAAATATATTTGAAGTTAATTAAGGGATCAGCCTGGATTATTATTACATGTCCATCTTGCTGAGAAGTTATTCCTCCACATTTGTCTGTAGGTTCTTTGAATACCTTCTTTTATTTATATTTGTTATTATTTTTCTAAGTTTTGATGATTTTTAAGAAGTTTTTATTTAAATTCCAGTTGGTTAACATACTGTGTAATATTAGTTTCAGGGGCCCAATATAGTGACTCAACACATATAACACCCGATTACGTTATATGTTGTATCATCACAAGTGCACTCCTTAATCCCCATTACTTATTTCACCCATCCCCCTGCCCGCCCACCTCCCCTCTTATAACCATAAATTTGTTCTCTATGGTTAAGAGTCTGTTTCTTGGTTTGCCTCTCTACCTTCTTCTTTAGAATTTACATTGTCTTTAGTAGTTTATCAGAACCAAACTTTGGCCTTTAACCCAAAGTGAAGTTAAAAGAAAATTGGATTATAACACCATTCAGAATCTAAGGTTGAGGTTATAAACTAATACCTCAATGAAGCCAAGACGTATTCAAACTTAACAATAAAAGGAAGAAAATGTGCTTCTAAAATAACTTTGGTGGTATTATTTCTATTGTAAAGAGGAATCTTTCTTTCTGGCTATTTCAGTATGATTACCTTTCCTTGTGGCTGTCAGCTCTTGCTTGTCAGTAGGTTGAGGTGGCCTTTCAACTGTAGAGAAGACCCAAGGTCAATAGCTGAAGACTTATTAAAGGGTATTAGTGGCTTGTGTCATGTGATTTGTTTTCCTCGTACATTTCTACATTTCGCTGAATAGGAAGATGACAAAAAGGAAAGATTTGTTGACAGCCAGGTCATCTTTGGGTCAATCTTTGTGAAATGCAGAAGGGGAAATAGAGTAGTCATTCATAGAGCTTGAAAAAGACTATTAACACTTTTTAAATAATGCATTTATATGTTTCAAAACAGAGGAGTTCTAAAAAACATTAACTGCATTCTTAACTAATCCCACCTCTTTGAATTTAAAGCTGTTGTAAAAGTGAAAAAAGCTAACCACAACATGGTCATATTTTAAAGATTTTGAAATTTAAGAACCTGGATATCAAATGATACTACATATGTTATGAAATCTAGCTGGTCTTCAAAACTATTGATTTTTTAAAATTAGAAAGCTGATCATTCATTGTACACCCAAGAATAACTTCTTAAAAATTAAATCTAAATGTGAGACATTTTAATCAATATAAAATAGCCATTTGCATTTGAACTACTATTGTAGAGTTTTCACTAGGCTCACGGTGTAAGTATTCAATACATATTTGTTCATTGAATAGACTCTTATGAATGAAATTGTAGTTTAGATTTTTAGTTTTCAGGAATATAGGTGATACTCTGGATAAACAAAATTGAATTATTTAATTGAGGATGATTGCTCTGTCTCAGAGATAGCTCATTTTGACCTAACAAGAAGTTTATTAAAATAACCAACATGAGGGACATTTTGGTAAACATAGCTAACCAAATAATTTGCCTAGCCAAGTCAGAAAAGGAAATTTGCTTTAAATTTCCTTGGAGAAGAATGTTAATCGTGACTTCACTTTAGCTGTGAGGTCCTGGCAAGACTGAAATATTTACAGGAATCAGTGTAAGGCTGCCAGAATATAAGAAATAATACCAGCCTTGTAGTATTCCTATATTCTTGTCTTTTTCTGAGAACTATTTCATGTTTTAGAAAATTAGAAACAATGTCCTGTATCATATAGAATGAATGCTTATTATGTTTCAACAGAGTGAGTTGAGATTTTCTGTTTCTCAGAATAGTTGGCTTCTGCTGTTTGAAGAAAGATGGCAGAGATTCAAAACTGCTCAAACAAGCTGCTAGAATAGTAAGACCAGCCATTCTATATGGACTGTTTAGTTGTACCTTTTTTCTCTGGGTGTGTGTCAGGTGATAGTTGGAAGATTAGGGACTGGCCAATCCCCAAATTATGAAGGTGTTCCTTTCTACATAGTAATTTCTCAGTCCTTGATTTAGAGCCATAAAATGATACTTATTTTCAGTTGAGCCTTTACTTAATTCACAATTACAAGAACTTTATTTATTATTATTATTACTAATATTACTATTATTATTATTCACCAGAGGCTCAGAACACTTTCAGTGACATTGTTTTAGTGGGAAAATCTATTTCAGTAATTATATTTCACCTGGGAATGCTAGGAATCTTTATCTATACCAAGAGAAAACCATTTCTACAGTGGGGTCACCAATCTACCTCAAACACTAATAGGACATTTTTGAAAAGCTGGGTATTATTTGTTGAGTACTTAAATTAGCTCCGGTACTGTTCCAGGCATTAGGGATCAATTAGTAACCAAAGCAGGCAAAGATCCTTGCGATTGTGGAGCTCATAGTCTAACATATACTTGAATACTAGTGACACAGAACATTCTCCATATATATATTTACCTAAAGAATCTAAGAAAACGAAAGAGCTTTGAATGATTGGTTTAGATGAACTAGGTGAATTCTACATTGGAGCTATTCAGATACCTTGATGTTTTCCAAAGAAAAACAAAAAGGAAGATCAGAGCTCCCATGATAAGAAATCTCCCAGGAAGTTG